ACCCACAAGCTTAGGGAGGGGGTGGGACCCTCTGTCCATTGAGTACGTGACCCTTGGAGGCCGGATGGTCTCGCTATTAGGGTCAGCAGACCTCAGGGCTTCAGGTGTGCTAATTAATCTTGTCTGGGCAAACCAGAGTTACAGCTATCTCTTGACCCTATTTACCACATGTTGACTCACAGGAAAGGAGGGGCAGTGTGAATTCTTCTTATCTCAGGGCCTTGTGATAGGAACCTAGGTTTCTAGGTTAGTCCATCATTAACATTACTTTTTAGGTCTTTCAAAATAGTCTACAAATAGAGGCTATCTTCTCAGTATAGGGAGCCTGCTTGGGACCCACCTAGACCCTCTGCATGTGTGTGACAGTTGTATAGCTCGGTCTGTGAGGCTGCTAGCAGTGAGATCATGGCCTGTCCGTGGTATGCTTAGATGGCTTTTGGGAACCTGTTCACCATGCTTTATTACTTTCTAGTCCAGCCTTGTTTCAGGGGCAGGAACTTGGTCCTGCCTCAACTTGATGGGCCATGCTTTGTTCTAGTCCGGGGGGGGGGGGGGGGTGTCTGCCCCTTTGTGAATGGAGATGGAGGAGGAGTGGATGAGGGTTTCAATGGGAGTGGAAAAACAGGAGGGGAGGAGAGGGGAAACTATGCTCAGCATGTAAAATAAATGAAAAAAATAATTAAAAATAGGTTTAATTATGAAAAAGGTATTGAGTGGAAACTATAATAATCTACCATTATTTTGCTGAGAAAAATGTGGAACATGAATCTTTTGCAATTAGGAAGAAACAGGAAAAAAGTAGTGGCTTAACTATTTGCTGTCTGGCCAGTTAAGTGTCCTTCTTTGAGGGCATTAGGGCAGCAGAGACAAATCTATATGGTACAAAGAAGACATCATTACTTCTGACCAACATATAAGCCTTCAGTTCCCAGAGCTCTCTGAGTTTCTTTCAGTGATTCACTTCACAAAGTACAAACCTAAAAAAACCGTTCTGCTCATGGTAAGTGTTTAATTAAAATGGAAAATTGTTGGTTTGAATAAGCAATGTCCTCTACTGCCTTAGGAATCTGAGCACTTGGTGTCCAGCTGTTTGTACCATTTGGGGAAGATTGGATGGTTCAACCTTTAGGAGGGTGGGAAATGCTTCACTTTAGAGAACTTTGATACTAAAATCCTCATGCACTCGCAGTTGGCTCTTGGAGAAGATTGGATGTTTCATTCTCTGGGGGAATGCTTCACTTAAGAGGGCTTTGATATTGAAATCCTCACACACTTGCAGTTGGCTCTTTTTGCTTCCTGTTGCTTTTGCAGAGGTGATAACTCTGCTTTCTGCTCCTGCTGCCTCGCCTGCTGCTCTCTCTCTCCCTGCTGTGAGGAGCAGTCCAGATGCCTATAAATGCCCATGAACTTTCTCTTCTGTAAGTTTGTTTTAGTTAGGGTATTGCCATAGCAACTTGTAAATTGTTACCAGACAGTGGAATGTTTCTGTGAAACCTCTGACCACATTGTTTTTGTTTGTTTGTTTTTGTTTTTATTTTTGTTTTTGTATTTTGGAGAAAAGTGGAAGAGCTTGGGATTTTGTTTTAGAAAAAACAATGAATGCTGTAAGCAGATTGCAATGGCCCTCTCTACTCAGAACCTGGAGAAACATAGGACTGAGAGTAAAGTGGTCTTTATAGCCTGGCTCAAGAGTTTTCAGAAGCAATGAGGGACTTTTAACAGCAACCATAGAGAAAATTATATGTTATGGGGAAGAAAATTGAGGCATGTAGTGTTCTAAGCCCATTGATTCTAAATTTCTAAATTTGGAGCTACAGGCTTGGGAACGTTTGGCTTCTTTCTTGATTGGAAACAATGTTTCCTCTACATATCCTACTCCTAATTGTTGGGATTGAAATGCACATTCTCTACAGTCTGTTTGGAAGCACTAATATGAGGGTTTATTTGTTTGCTTGTTTTTTTTATTTACATTATAGGGGATAGTAGTTAAGAAATTGCCCTGACTCTCAGGAGAGACTTTTGAACTGTGTTGAGACTTCTAAAGTTGTACAGAATACAGTTTGTGTTGTAGATGTCTATGGGCCAATGGAGAAAAGCGGAAGTTGTCTTGTTGTTGACTGATAAATGCCTGCCATAGGCATGTGTTTACTTGGTTTTTCATTGGTGGGGCTCTGCGGAGACTTTACAAAATACATGGATGGTGGACCCTTGATGGAGGAAGTGAGAGTTTGTAGCTTGACCCCAGTTGTATTTCTCCTTTGCTTCTTGTATGGCCTCCTGTCTTGGTTTTCTGTTGTCATGCTTCCCTCCCCTTTATCTTCTCCCTCTTTTATGCAAGCTCCTTCTGGAACCATTAGTCTGAATAAACAATACTTTCCATAAGCCGGCTTGGTCATGGCATTTTACCACAGCAACAAAAAAATAACTTCCTCATACTCATGCTGACATACTGCTGTTCTCCGCAAATCCCTCTGTTTTTCTGTGTTCATTGTCTTCAGTCCCCCCTTTAACTCATCTTAGCCCAGTTGTTTTTACTAATATAATTTGAGTAAAAGTCTTCTCATGCAATCAGTGTTTGAATCCATGGTTCAACATTTATGACCCCATTTAAGGAAGTTCTTGAAGTTGGGGAGCTAAGATCTACTTAGAAGGATCAGGTTATTTCTAAGAAGGAGTGTTGTTCTTTTGCTGCAGCTATTGCCTATGAAACACAAACAGGTAAGTCATGACATAGAGGAGACATAGACATGAGCATCCCATCCATTATCAAGGGGCAGGGTCAGCAGACTGCTGGTTCCTAACAAGGAGTATGTACTAAGAAATTTGCTTCTTAATCCCTGGCAGCTATACGGAGCTCTCCCAGTGTTCCTGGATCTTGACTTGGATATTTGCTGTCTTTTCCAGTCTCAGCTGGGTGATTTTCTAGTAACTCATTCAAGTGTGTGGCCTGCACTGTAGTTTGTCCTACACAAACAACATACTCAGCCTGTCACACATGTGAAGAACAGCATGAGTAAGAAGACATCATTGGTAGTAAACATTTATTGAGCCTAACACAAAACGAGTGAGGACAGTAAACAGAATGGTAGCCTTTCATATTAATGAAAGAACAAAGTGAAAAACCAGTTTACATTTCCACAAAAAATATTACCCAGAATATAGAGATTGTAATTACATCAGTAATTGGCAGGCATGTGCATGGCTTCCAAAATTTCTTTTGTAAGTCATAAACACATAGGACTCAACTATAAACCTTCAATAGATACAACCTTTTTGTCTGCAAGAGTTCTGGTAGGGGTGAAAGACTGAGATGCTATTCTTTGTTTCACAAGATGTAGGGGACAGCTATGTTGAAATTAGTGCAGCTAAGAAGTAGTTTATATGTGTATGTCTACCAGGGTTGCTGAGATCTTTTGGCTGCAAATTAGATCAACAGTGATTAGATTGAGGCTTGCTGAAGGGGAAGGTTGTGGATTCACCAGCAGCCACCAGCAGTGTCTTTTGAGGTTGGACATTAAGATTTACGAAGTCCCTGTGAACTGTTCAAAGTATCTAGGGTGACTTGATGATTGTCCCCTTCTAAATACCAGAAGACTATTTGGTCTCTAGTGCCTCAGAGCAGTCCTCTGAGAGTTGCCAATTAAACATTCATCAGTGAATTAGCTTAAAAAAAAAAAAAGTCTAAAAACTGGAGTCTGATATCTTGAAGATCTCTCAACATGAAGATTTGTAACAATATTTAACAGTGCTCATCTCTTTATCAAAATTGCTAGAATTGGTTCCCTGGAATTAGTTTCTACTTCTGTATATAATTTCTGCACACAGTATGTTTGGGGACATTATCTCTTTTTTTGATGTGCTCCCTGCATGTACTGTCTTTACAGACATCAGTACTCTCATCCTATTGTCTTAAAATCCTTGTCTGTTTGGAGCCGAGACCTAAGGAACACTGCTTAAGATTTATATGAAAAAGTCATGTCTTGGTTATGAAGAGTCCAACACCCTGCTGGATTCACCTCTGTTTTACACCTATAGGTACCACATGAAAACCCAAACACCTACTAGAGTTTACATTAGAAATGCAAATGGCTTCCCACAAATTTTAGTTTTCAAATCAATTTATTGAGAATTTAATACAATGTATCTTCATCATATTCAACCTTTCTCCCCACATTTTCTTAGCTCTACTCCCACCTCCTTACCTAAAATGAAAAGTTCATTTTTTTTTTAAAGCCAATAGATTTCAATTTGTGTTGCTGGAGTACTCTTGCATTACTGGCTACTGAATTTGCTCAGCCTAACTGTGGTCACATTTTTAAAGCAAACTGACTCTCTTCCCTTTCCTGGCAGCTTTCAAATGCTGGTAGCATTTCATATCATGCTAAGACTTCATGTTTATGTCATCTGCATCCCTAGTGCTATGATATTGTTTGACTTCAGCTTGTACATGCTTTCAAATATAACTGTGAGTATCCATGAGCAACTACAAAATCCTTGAGTCATAAAATGTAAAGAAATCAAGCAGGTACTGACTTGTAAGCTTTATCTGTACTGGTTAGCTTTCATAGTGCTAGAAGTTGGTAGGTTTTTTACTGGATGGAAAAAAATAAAGGTATCACCCAGCCATGAACCCTATTAACTACAAAATGACTGGTCTGACAAGAAAGGCCCACTTATGCAACAGAGGTAGAAACATGGAAGGAAAAAAAAAAACATGTTATGAGATGTTTAAAAGAACACTCAATGAAGTAGAGTCCATGTGGCTAACAACCTGCGGTTAGCTAGTCCATAGTCTATAAGGCAGGATATAATACTTTTAATCTGTGAACTGATACTATTAAAATGAACTCCCCTTAAGTTATTATGCTGATAAAGGACATGAGTGATTAAGTGTTTAGATACTCTGCATTATTAAAGAGATATAATTTATACTCTTACTAGAAAATTATAGTATTTTTATATTCCTTATCCAGGAAAAATGGAGTCTGGGAACAGTGGCATCATGGTTCATGACAAAGGGACCTAGAGTAGGAAAACACATAGAAATGATGGCTGTGGTATTTATTAGCCACCAACTAGGATTGTGTGAAAGAGCAATGCAGCCTTGTAAGATGGAAGAGAGTGAGTAAAAAGTCAGAAATGTGCACACCAGGGCTAGAATGTTCTGGGTGGCCTTGGACTCAGGGGACGTTCTGTGGGAAGAATGAGAACTGTGGATATGTTGAACCCGCTTCTTGTGTCCATACAGTACAATAATCATGAAGCTGCTGGAACTGACCAGGAGCACCGAAAACAAGACCTCAGGTAACACCCAAAATACCATGTACAGTGATTCTACTATAGTATCATGGTTCAGGGAGGAGTAACAGAATTCAAAACTTCTTTTTTGTGTCATATTTTTGCTATTCCTCCTTGTGGATGTATACACAGGGAAAATCAAGTTCATAATCATGTATAGTATCCAGCAGAGGGGAATGGAGAAGCCCGTGAACCTTGGGTTTTTGACCATGAGATCCTTCCAACAGGATTTCCTAGGGCTGATGGTGATGGCTTGGAAGACACTCAAGAGACATGTGGTGGTGATGGACATGCTTCTGCCAAGTCTGAGAATATATAAAATAAGTTTGCATCCAAAATCATTGAAGAACTGATTCCATTCAAAAGCACCTGTTACCTGCAACATTCCTTTGGAAAGAATAATCAAGGAATTGGCTATAAATATATGTGTAAGAATAAAATCAATGGTCTTTAATGTGCCTTCGTTGTAATATAAGAGTAGATAGTACAGCAGAAGAGAGAAGTTTCCCAAAATTCCAAGTATGCTTTGAAGTGAGAGCACTACTCCTAAAGCTATGTTCCTGGACTCCATTCTGTCATTCAGCCCATTCTCCTTATTATTACAATGCACAAACTGTTTCAGAGTCAGGTCATTCACTGGCCATTCCTAGGCTTGAATGTGTTTGTGAGAGAACCACTTGAGTTCAAGATTAAAAAGCTACCACTTGCAACATAACAAGACTATGCTTCAAAACAAGTATTTTATTATCACTAATAGCTTTCAGTAGGCTGAGCATTGCAACTTATGCCTTTAATCCAATAACTCCAGAGGAAGAAGCAGACAAGTATTTGTGGGATTGAGGTCAGTCTGGTCTACAAACCAAGTTCCAGGATAGTCAGGGTTGTTACAGAGAAACCCTGTCTCAAATAACAAAACCAAAACCAAAAAAAGCAAAAACTTTTGGTAGAACTTTAGAAGTTGATAAATGCCATATTTATGGGTAGAATTCCCAGTACACATCTTAGAAATATAAGTGCAGGGAGAATTAATAGCTAATGAGTTCAAACGGAAGAATGCTCACTTCTACAGTACAGAATGAACTGCTCTTTACAAGTCATATTGGGAGAAAATAGACTTAAAATCATCACTTTCAGCACAAACGAAATCTATACAGTCCTCATGTGAAAATGAAGCACTAAAAAATATGTGTTATACAATAACATGAATATGTGTTCATTTTCCATGGCAAAGGACTCTAACCATAAAGTTTACATTAAAAATTAGAACTGAGAACTTTCTGCCATCAAATTTCACAAAAATCTCACTGATGATACTTGCAGATTTGCTCATTTGGTGTGGGAGTCACAATGAATATATTCGACATGTTGAACTCTTACCTATTTACAATAGAATGAAAATGGTAAAATAAACCAACGAAAGGTTTAGGAATAAACAGAGACTAATGTCTAGTGTTCCTATTAGATCTATTGTTTGTTGTCATCCTTCAGTAGCCTAAATATAAAGGGAAGATTATAAGACACACCAATTATTTAAGTATGAGGAGAAGGCAGACATCTTATGAACTTTTGCTGGTGTTCCCATGGCTGAAAACATTTAACAAGAATGGTATAAAGATATCTATAAAAAAATTCTGCAATGTATATATAGGTAGTATTTTCTAATGAAACATTTGCATATGTGTTTTAGAAGCGTCTTGCCACAGTTGATAGAGAATGATGACCTCTACAGCAATGTAAATTACATACCCAAGTAGTCACAAAAAAATAAAATACATGTAAAAAAACACCCAGAAAAATGTGAATTCTCATGTTATGATTATGATTGCATTTATGCAACACAAAACATAGGGCATTGATCAAATCTCTTGAAGGTTAACTTAGATATGGACCTATGTTTCCATATTCGCATTCCAAGTCATAACACAGAGACCTAAATTATTGACTTAATATCATAGAGTTATAACGAATATAGTTGTGAGTGTTCTATTTCTATTTTGTCAAGTGGAAAGGTTCAGATACAGGCTTATTCTAAATTTAACCTGGAGGTGGCCTGGAGCTTTCTACTTCCTCAGCCTGTGGATTTCTAGAATTGCCACCCTCAGGCAATCTTCAAGTTTTTGATGCATGTCTTACACACAAAGGTGAGCTTCGTTTGAGAATTCTAGTGAGCTTTTCTATTACCTCTCACAGACACAGAATGTGAGTTGCTGGACGCACTTAGGGATGATGGGTAGTAAGCAGAGGTTCTTTACGGGATGAATGGCAAAAGCTGCAGGACCAGATCACAAACCAAGCAAAAGACTAATAGTCATGTACATTGTGAACCAATTATATGGTACTCATTTGGACAGGTTCCTGAATCTTTATTACACTTTAGGATGTTTGGGTGCTCCTTTAGATAATTAAGTCATACAAAGAAGAACATTTGACAGAATACACAAAAGGAAGTTGAAAATGTGGTACTTGCGGGAGCTTCTTAAATTCCACCCACCTGGAGTACTTGGTTTGCTTGCTGAGGTGGCTGAACACCTGTTGAGGAGCATGCTGCAGAAGAATCTGTCATGGATATCTGTGAGGATAGAAATACCAGTCATAGACACAGGCAGGTGGGAGACTGTGTCCCCAAAAGAAACAAGCTCAAACTTATCTAAGGAACTCCAGCTGATGTTATCCTCTGAATATACAAGCATAATCAAATGAAAGAGCAAATGAACTCTCAGTGCACATACACATAAGTACAGGTACACAAACACACTCAAATAAAAGAAATAAGATTATTAGATTTGAAACTAAAGGCTTGAATTTGTGATTATAACTTATGAATCATAAAAAAGAAAATATGTGCTGTGAACATAGTCCAATGATCACCTCTGGTGAACCTGGTCTAGTGATCACATCTTGTGAGCATGGTCCAATGATCACATCTGGTGGACAGTGTTCAGTGATGATACCTTGTGAACATGGTCCAGTGATCACATCTTTACCTGCCCTGCCCAAAGTTATAGATGCCAACATCAGTCATGAAAATGGAAAAAAAATCCATCCTGAGTTTGGCGTGACAGCTGAGTATCACCGAAAAAGGGGAAATTATAGAAATATATGCACTGTAGATGAATATTGTACAGAATTCATAGGACCAGCAGAACTCCTGCCCTGGGCATATATGCAGTTCTGCATATGATCATGTTTTTTTTTTCTATAAAGGCAGGTTCAGATTCTAGTTTATTTCCAGAATTAGATGGCTATGATTTTACTTTAACCCTCATCATACAGGCGAAGCTTTTATACCAGCATCTGTGATCATCATATTGAAAAAATAGTGTATTGTTTATGTAAAATATGTGGAGATGGGAATGTGAATACCATAATTACTATGATTCCTAAGCATCTTTGAAGTCAGATTCATTATCATCAGGATGATTCAAAAACAGTCACGGATTTTAACAAATGATTTTTGGAACATTAGGGATTAGCACCATGGCAGGGACATTGATCTCTTTGGCAAATCTGCTTCTAGCCCAGAAAGTTTCCTTAACTGAAATGTGTGTGCTTTCACCCCAGAATCCCTCCTCCAGACCTGAGCACTTGCCAGACCTCCTTTCCTTTTCTCTGTTTCCTAGATTCAGTATGAACTGCATACTCATACATACCTCACTCCTTTGCTTGGCAAACCTTCAGCTCAGTGTGCAGCTCCAGGCAATGGCAGGCAGTACTGTGGGAGGGAGGGAGAGCAACCCCTCGACAAAGGTGCATAGCTCTGTACCTCAGTTCCCTCACAACTGCGATCTTCATCTCACCCGCAGTGACAATGACAACAATTGCTTTGGGAACTGATGACCCTGAGACTTTTGCCTGTTGCTGTTTTTCTTCTTCTTCTTCTTGTGAGTGTCTCAAAAGAGGTAATGCTTTGGAGAGCCTCTTAGGATTTCATGATCACTGAAAGCTGACAGGGAGGGAAGGTTCTGAAAGCATCGGGGTTTGATGTGTGAGAGTCTTACAAGGGAGCTTGAATGTCTCATTGGACTCCAGCCTTCTTTGGGTGCTTCTACACAAATTGTTTTTCTGCAAATTAGTTTTCAGATCCCATATAGCTGTTCCACTGGATAGCACCCAGGGAAGCAGAGTCAGCCAGGAATTCAATGATAACAACAAGTACCAGTTGGTTTCTTTTCTTTTCTTTTTTTTTTTTTTTTCTGATTGTGTCTTTCTGGCTTCTTTATCAAATATCAGGTGCTTAAAGGTGTGTAGGTTTATCTCTGGGTCTTCAGTTTGATTCCATTGATCATCCTGCCTGTTTTTATGCTGAGAGAACATTCATAGCAAATTACTTTTAGTCTTTCTGTGAAGAAAGTGTTATTCATGAAATGGAATATTGCAATCAATATGTATCAAATGAAGAGCTGAACATTACTTAGACACTCAGATATAAAATGGAAAACAAGTATTTAATATGAATGATGTGACATAAAGACATTACTAAACCCTAGAAAATAGCAGATAACACAATTAATCTAGTCATGCAAGGCACAATTATTCTGCCAGCTTCCCTTCAACACTTTTGTCCCACACTCAGGTTAGGCAACCTCAGTACTCATCACAGAGTTGACCTTTAAGACACACACTTTTAGTCACCAACTAATGCATGTTTTACTGCTACTTAAAAACAATTTTTTAATTCTAGAAGAAGATTCATATTTTGGCTTATTTCCAGGCACAGATGATACATTTTTTTCTATTACAGTATTTATTGAATGTGAAGACAATATGCTATTTCTATGTATTTGAAACAGAAAAGTGATTCATAGATTCATAGAAATAGTATAGAGATGGAAAAGTAAGTGATCTAATTACTACAGCACCTCCAATGTCAGATTTCTTCATGATTTACCATGCCCCATATCCATGATCAGAGAAGATTCCATCATATTGTATTATCTATACCAGGGTATAGTGTATGTTCATAATACATTTCTCTTATGTAGTTCATCTCAGAGCCTAGAAAGACTTCCTCTACTTTGACTTCATCTGTTCCCACCCCAGAGTCCATGTTGTAGGCATAAATATTCACCAGACTGCCTTACATTGTTTGGTTTGCATCCCAAGTGGAAGTCCATGGAGCTCACCTGACTCCTTCTCTGTGAATAACCTTCAGCTCAGAGTATGGAGGAGACATCTCTCTAGCCAGATTCAGCACTAGACTGAGATACAGACCTGTGACTGTGACCTCTCTTCTTTCCAGAACCATCATTTTGCAATTTTTGTTTCATCTGAGGTAGCAGGGTAAGCTCTGGCTTTGGGAGGTAAGAACATTTAAAAACATTTCAAGTCCCTAATTGCCAGAACAAATTATGACTTCATTCATTGTGTCTCCAAAGTGACAGAGTCAACATGATGTGCCTTATATGTATGGAAGGTATTTAGGATTTGAGGTCTTATATTGGAATCTTTTGCAGAGAGGTCTGAATATTTCACTGCACTGCAGGCCAGGCTCTGTCAGTATACCCCAAATTAAGTTAGTTATTGGTTTCCAGATCTTGTCACTGCCAAACTTTAGAGCACAGCAGAACAGTC